CGCCACACCCGTTTTGCCACCCTGCGGCCCAGCGGGTCGTAAAGATAGCGGCTTTCGACCAGCGGCTCTGCATATTGTGTCCGCGTGTAGTGCACCAGCCGGTGCTGACTGTCGTAATGGTACCGGTGAGTCCGCTCATCATCCGTGCGGATAACCCCTTCCGGGATGAGGTCGGTTTTCTCYGTCAGCCTGCCGTGACGGTCATACCGGTAAAGATAGTGCGCGTCACGGGCGATACGGTTATCCGGCCACATGCTGAGGGTGCTGTCCGGGTGCAGCTCCGGGTCGGGCAGGCGGTTACCTGCCGGGTCTGTGGCATACGGGATGCGGATATCCAGATTCGCTGCGGTGGTGTGAACGCCGGTCAGCCTGCCGGTGGTGCTGTAGCTGTAACTCCGGGTCTGGCGCGGGCTGCTGATGCGGATGAGTTCGCCGTTGTCGTTCCAGGTGTAATCGCGGTCAGACAGCAGGCTGTTCAGGTGCTGGCTCTGTAACTGCCCGGCAGGGGTATAAGCGGTGGTGAGTTCATAACGGCCGAAGCTGCGCAGCGTTTCCCGGTGCAGGCGGTCGCGGGTGTACTCCACCAGCGGTGTGTCGCCGAGTTTCATGCCTGCCAGGTAACCGCTGCCGTAGGTCAGCCATTCCACGGCGGGCAGGCTGTCCGGTATACAGCGGTTCGCCAGCCCCTGCGCGTTGTACGCATGTCTGGTCTCATGCTGCCAGAGCAGTGCTTCCGTCTGCGGGTGATGCACCGTCTGACGCTCACCGGTCAGCCGGCCTTTCTCATCATATCCGTAATACACCGCCACCCGGTGCCCTTCGCTGATATGGCTGATGTCTGTCAGCCAGCCGCGTTCGTCATACCGCCACCGCTCTGCGGTTTCGCCATTCACGGTGCGGTGCGTGAGGCGGTCTGCTTCGTCATAGTGCCAGTGGGTGACCAGCCCCTCATCCTCGCTGCGGATAAGTTTGCCGGTCAGATCGTGGTGATAACGCTGTGTGCGGCCGTCAAAGCCGGTTTCCTGTATCAGCCGGTCGAGTACATCGTAACGGAAGGTGGTGTGGCTGCCGTTTTCACTGGTCAGGCGGATGACCCGTCCGGCAGCATCGTATTCCATACTGCGCGTCAGMCCGCCCTGCGTGGTACRGAYGGCYTTTCCCCACGCATCGTACTGTGTCCCGTTTCTGCTGCCGTCCGGGGCAATGACGGYGGTCAGGTCACCGGCGRYGTTGTATTCATACCGCGTTTCATGGCCCTGCGTGTCTTTCACGGCAATTAACTGTCCACGGCTGTCGTATGCGCGGTACTGACTCAGCCCTTCCTCGCGGTGCACCGCCGTCAYCTGMCCRAARCGGTCATGGTCATARCGGGTTACATAACCGGAACAGTCRGTGAAGCTCAGCAACTGACCGTAACGGCTCCACGTCATGGTTTTCCGGCTGCCGGTGGCATCTTCCGTTGCGCAGGGTAAGTCACTGTGTGGATTATCATAACGGTAGCGGGTGATATCGCCGTCAGGGGCAGTTTCCTGAATCAGACGGCCCAATTCATCATATTCCCGGCGCAATTCCAGCCCGTCAGGCCCGGTGGCTGACGTTAACTGGYTGTGGTGGTTATAGTAAAACGCCGATGCCCTGCCATCCGGCGTGGTKATGCGCGTGATGAGGCCCGTCACCACATCCGGGCTGTACTCTGTTGTCCTGCCTGCGGCATCCGTCTGTGCCCTGAGCCTGCCCACGGCGTCAAACTGACTCTGCGTGACGCTGCCGTCCGCGTGTTCCTTTTTCACCACCCGCTTCAGCCCGGCTTCGCCCTGCGTGTGCAGCACTTCACGGCGGTCCAGGCTGTCGGTGATGGTGATGCGGTCTTTCTCATACTGATACGTGTAGCTTAAGCCTGCCGGGTTTAGCTGTTCTGTCACCCGCCCGTCGCTGTCGTAACGGTAACGGATTTCCGGCCGGCCCGTGTGACGGTGCGCCACCATCCGGCCCCGGTATTTATCATCGTAAGTAAAGCTGCGCACCTGTTTGCCACTACGGTCATACACCACCGCCAGTTCGCCGCGTGGCGTCCAGCCATAGCGCACCAGCGGCGCGGCAGGTAAATTCTCCGGGTATTCCGGGTCGTGCGTCAGCCACACGGCAGACAGACGGATGCCGTTGTCCCGGCCATATTCGGTGTAACCCGGCAGGGTATCAGGAAAAGCGGACGGTTCCGTCCCGCCGGAAATGGCCTGCTGCCGGGCTTCTTCTGCCCGCTGCGCCTGCGTGGTCAGTACCAGCCGGAAGTGACGCCCGGCACCATCCGTCACGCCGGTGATTTCGCCGCTGAATTCACCGGCGGCTTCGCGGTGGAACGTCTGTGTGCGCCCGAAGCGGTCCACCAGCCCGGTCAGTACCCGGTACGGCGGCAGCGGCGCAGGCAGCACCTCATCCGCTTCCGGCACCCGCTCACACCAGCCGAGCAGCCACCACGGCCCCTGCGGRCTGTTTGTCGCCAGATAACGATGCGGACTTAAGCGGAGTTCTTCCGGCAGCGCCTGCCAGAGTGCGGCCAGCCGGTGACCTTCATCCAGTTTCGCCACGCCGCCGCGCACCAGCCACAGTGACTCGCTGCGGCTGTAACCGTCCTCACCGGGAAACAGGTGCTCAAAATACAGGCTTCTGCCGCCGTTATCACTGAGTATCAGTGTGTTATCGCGCAGCTGTAAGCGGATATCCGCAGGCATTTTCCAGCCGGGGCCGAGGCTCCCCACCGGCGCGGGCGTTTTTGTCCGGTAACTGCTGTAGGTGCGGGAGAGGATGAACGGCAGCGGGCCGGGCAGGGCGATGTCGGTTTCACCGGGAAGGACCTTTGCACCGAGCAGGGGATTGACCGGATGGCCGGACGTCACTCCGCCGGGGCACACCGAACAGGCCACGCCGGTGGGGGCACCAATGCGCCCCCCGGCTGAACCCTGAACAATGCTACCGCCATACTGCGTCATGTC